TCTGTGACCTGGAACTAGGGATGGAGACCTGTGTTCCATCCCTCAGACCAGATATGGAGGCAGAAGAGAACTCAGTTCTCTATGTTGTCGTCGTCTGACATCTGCATGTATACCACATGACATTTGCACAAGGACACACACACATACAGGCATATACAAAGTGCATATGTGTAATTTTTAAAATAAAATAAAAAACAAAGTAGATCTGGAGGCAGAGGAGGGCTGATCTCTATGAGTTCAAGGCCAGCCTGGCTTATGTAGTGAGTTCCAGGACAGCTAGGGCTACACAGAGAAACAAAATGAAAAAATAGAAAGCAGGGCATGACAGCATGTGCCTTTATTTTATTTTTAAAGATTTAGCTTTAATTATGTGTATGTGTGCGTGGATGCAGGCAGTTGAAGATGAAAGCCACCTGATGTAGGAGCTGGGAATTTAATCCACATTCTGTGGAAGAGCACTCTGTATCTTTAACATGGAGCCATCTCTTAGCTCTGGTACATACCTTTAACCCCTGCAGAAGCAGGCAGACATCTGTGAGATGGAGGCCAATCTGATCTACATAGTCAGATCCAGTCTCAAAACCAACAACTTTAGATTCTTTTATTAATAATATAAACTGTATGGATGAGACTATGAATTCTATTCTTAGCAGTAATGGAACAGAAAAGACCAGCTCAGATTTTATTTATTTTCATATGTATGTTTGTTTTATTTACTTATTTATTTTCGTGAGTGTGAGATGTTTACTTGTTTGTTTGTGATTTATTTGTGTGAGGGTGAGAAACAAGAGAGAGCGGCCTCAACAAGGTGAGGAGGTGTGAACTGACTCCTCAAAGTTGTCCTCTGACCTCCACATTCAGGCCGTGGCTCCTAAGCCCCGGCGCTCACACGCACAATAATAAAAATACAATAACATTTTAATGAGTCTTGAAAAAAAAGGAAAGAAAGGGAGGGAGAGAAAGAAAGAAACAAAGGAAGGAAGGAAGGGAGGGAGAGAAGAAGGGAGGGAGGGAGAGAAGAAGGGAGGGAGGGAGGGAGGGAGGGAAGGAAGGAAGGAAGGAAGGAAGGAAGGAAGGAAGGAAGGAAGGAAGGAAGGAGGGAGGGAGGGAAGGAAGGAAGGAAGGAGGGAAGGAAAGGGATCTCCTGCCGGAAACTTAAGTGTTCCCTGGAACTGGGGTTGCAGGCAGGTTATGAGCCACACTGCGCATGTGCTAGGAATCAAACCTAGGTTTTGGCAAGAACAACCATTGCTTTTGTTGTTATTGTTGTTTTTCCCAAGACAGGGTTTCTGTGTAGCCCTGACTATCCTAGAACTTGATCTGCAGACCAGACTAGCCTCTGCCTCCGGAGCGCTGGGATTAAAGGCATGCGCCACCGCAGTCCGGTGCAGCCACTGCTTTTACCGGTTTAGGCAACTCCATCCAGTGGTATCCTCTCTCATCTTTTATGTTTTTTAGAGACTGGTCTCATCTAGGTTAATTTAGTCTCAAATTTGTTCTGACTCCTCCTCAGCTCACTCTTTACCCCCTGAAGCGGCATCATCTACAATCTAGAGTAGATTTTCGTTCGGCTGTAGCCAGACAGTCCCTTTCAGTTTCCTTAGGGCAGAAGCTACAGAGCGAAGCAGCGAGGACCATGGCCGACTGCTGTTGTTTTCAGCTTGTTCTATCTCTGCTTTGTTTTTTAGAGCTCCGGTTCTTAATATAGGGAAGGTCAGAGTTGAGTGTCCAAGTCAACAATAATAAGGCGCTTCGTTAAACTAGGGGTTGGAGGATTGGCCAAGCTCTTGTTTAATAAGGAGGCCTGACCTTTGTGTAGCTTGTAACTGTTTGCAGAGGGCTTTACGGCAGCCATCCCCTGAGACTCGCTCTAGCTACCACAGCTGGTGAAAATGGGCAATCCTGGAAGTAGATAAACCTCGGTCTAAAGTCCAGACCTACCATGGAGGATTGTGTGACCGTAGGTAGGTCACTTGACCTCAGTCCTTCATTGATACTTAGGGGTTATTTTTATAATTAAAAATTGTTGCCGGGCAGTGGTGGAGCACGCCCTTAATCCCAGGGATTGGGAGGCAGAGGCAGGCGGATTTCTGAGTTCGAGGCCAGCCTGGTCTACAGAGTGAGTTCCAGGACAGCCAGGGCTACACAGAGAAACCCTGTCTTGAAAAACAAAACAAAAATTGTTTTAGTTTTTCTAAATTGTGGTTTTATTGAGGGGAAGCACTGTGCACACGTGTGAAGGTCAAAGGACAACTAGCAGATCCCCACTAACATCCAGCTCAGGTTGTCTAGCTTGGTGCTGGCAGGTGCCCTTAAGATCAGCCATCTTGCAGTCCTGATTTTTTTCTTTTTTTCTTTCCTTTTTTCTTTCTTTCATTTTTTTAAAGACAAGTGTCATGTAGCATAATTCTCATCAAATTTTTTGCAAATGAAATCTTCACCTTCCGGTCCTCCTGCTGGGGTTATAATCAACTCATCTTTTTGGTTTTGTTCAGAGTTGAATGTTGCCCATTGTCATCATCATTATTGTTGTTATTATTTTATGTTTGGCTTACAGTATTTATGTGCATCACATGTGTCCATGGAAACCAACAGAGGGCTTCAGACAGATCCCCTGGAACTGGAGACAGATATGATTGTGAGCCATTGTGTGGGTGCTGGCCATCTAACCTGTGTCCTCTGAATGTATTTGGACTTTTAACTACCCAGCTATCTCTTCAGACCCTGTTATTTTTGTTCATTAATCTGTAGTTTTGAGACAGAGTTATCAAGTAGACCAGGTTGGTCTCGGCTTCACAGAGATCCACCTGCCTCTGCCTTCAGAATGTTGAGAGACTGAACTGCTGCCTATGGTGATACAGGGTACATGAACCCAACGGATGGAGGGGGAGGAGAGAGGGTAACAAATTCAAGGCCTACCTCGACAAGCTCAAGGGGAAGCTGGATAGCCTGAGACTCTGTCTCAGCATAAAAGGTGAAAATTGAAAGGGTTGGTGGGTTTACTGGGAATATAAACTCAGTGGCACAATGCCTGCCTAGCCTACATGTAGTTTAGAGTCACCAAAGGGCAGGAGCCAGCTGTGTGGGACAATGCCTATAATTCCAGCATTTGAGAGATGGAGGGGCCCATGTGATCCAGGGCACTGCTGTGGCTACACAGAAAGACCAGGTCTCCCAGGCCAAGTGAGGAAATGAGCAGGAACATCTGGCCAAAGGCAGACGCAGAAGTCTCTAGGCACCACTGTCAGGTGGCAGGGAAGGCTGGGTACCTTGAGATCAAGTTCAGACCCAGGCCTTCTGGATCTCTACAGAGTCAGTAGATTCAGCTGTTCACTTATTCATCTTCTTAGCAAGTTGCTCTAGCAGACTATGACCTGTGGCCAGGGGCTTGAATTTAGTTCTAGGTCTCCATGGTTGAACAAATTAGCAGTCTGTAGATGTTCAGACACACCAGAAGAGGTCACTGGATCCCATTACAGATGGTTGTGAGCCACCATATGGTTGCTGGGAATTGAACGCGGGATCTCTCTGGAAGAGCTGTCAGTGCTCTTAACCACTGAGCCACCTCTCCAGCCCCCAATTTTTTTAAAGACAGAGTCACATGTAGCTCAGTCTTAACTTAGTATGTAGCAAAAAATGACCTCTAACTTCTGATCTTCCTGCTTCTTAATCCCAAGGGCTGGGACTTAAACAAAATTAAATTGTAATGTTTGGTCATCTCTCCATCCCAGTTGTTTTGAGACAGGAGCATGTTCCAAACATGCCTGTCACTTGGGGGAATAGCAACCAACATGCTTACCCAGGAAATTATTTATGCAGCTTGGATGCCAACTGGAAAGGTACTGAACAGATCTATGGTGAAGGCAGCAGTCCTTATTCATTACTAGAGGTTTGCACAACTCCTAGTCTCCATTATCCCTTTTAAAATTCTAAAAGTAAAAAATAAAATATATCTGTGTGAGTTTGAGGTTAGCAACATTGTAAGTTCCAGGCCAGCCTAGGCTACATAGTGAGACTGATAAAAAACAAGTAACAAAACCCCCAAATAGCCAAACAATAAGATCCTAAAAACTGAGAGCCCAAACACTTAGTTATCTTTGTTGGGAGAATTCTTTCCTGGGGAGATACAAACATCTACCCCAACACTCTCAAGGTCCTAACCACAGATCAAAAGGCAATCCACCCAGATTCAGTCTGGGAAACTACTGGTGAGCTCATGACCAGTGGTTACTTACAGAATATGAAGCATCCAGACTGGAAGTTATCCACCCAGCAAGGATGCCTGCTTCCAGCTTTCAGTTAGGCATCCTGTATAGAAGCTTCAGAGATGCAGAGGCCACAAAAAATTAGTGAATTGTATAGGAATGGCTGGCAGGCACGGCTGGCATCTCATTGGCCCTTTCCTACCCACTTTTCTTTTTTTTTGGTTTTTCGAGACAGGGTTTCTCTGTGTAGCCCTGGCTGTCCTGGAACTCACTCTGTAGACCAGGCTGGCCTCGAACTCAGAAATCCACCTGTTTCTGCCTCCCAAGTGCTGGGATTAAAGGTGTGGGCCACCACCGCCTGGCATATCCTACCCACTTTTCTGAGGGAATGTAAACAGGCATCTTGCAGGTAGGCACTAGTGACCTGAGGGAAATGGTGGCCACTTTGCCCAGAGGACAGAATTCTACAGTAAAGACACAAGTCTATCAAACTGAGGAAGCGGAAGCTGCAGAGACGGCGGTCAGTAAAGTATCCTTTCCAAATTGTAGTTGCGTCTTCAGTACCCATGTAGTCAGGTGTAGTGATGGGAGGCAGAAGCAGGAGGATCCCAGGCAGTCTAACCAACTGGTGAGCGCCATATTCAGTGAATGGATAACATGGAGACTGACGTCAAGAGCCAGCAGCAACTTCCATATGCACACTTATCCAAAGCATCCACACTACCACCCATACAAAGAACAAAAGTATTTTCTAAAGGGCAGAAACAAAATCTTGAAGATGACATAAAGAAGCCATTAACATAAATATCTTTATTAAAATTAACTTTGAAAACAAGAATAATGACAGCATTATTTCACATTTTTTTTCAACCTTTTTCTGACAACAGAAGACAGTTGTAGTCTCAGACGGGCTTTATCTGGCCATTGCTTTCACCTGGAGTGGCAGCGGAAAAAGGAAAACCCCCCTGAAGGAATTCAGAACCTTTGTAGGATCGTTAACTACATGAGAACCACAGCAGCAGAAAGGGTATCTCAGTAGACTACAGCCACAGACAGAATCAGCACAAGGATGGCCGCTCCTTCCCTGGCCAGCAGGTTTAAAGGAAACTTGAGCTCTTGTTAATTCAATTTCAACTTTTTTTTTTTTTAAATTTATGCCAGCAAATTGAACTCAAGGCCTTACAGATGAGCTACAGCGCCCCCTAGACTCCAAACTACAATTTGTTTTAGAAACAAGGTCTCCTGGATTCGAAGGATCCTTCTACCTAATTCCCAGGTACCAAACTGTCCATCATCAGTTTTCAAGTAGACTTTAAGATCACTATGTTGCCAGTCAAGATTACAGAGTATGTTTTTTTGTCAAATTTTGTTCTAGAGATGCCAGGTCACTCACAATCAGCACTCCCCTGTAGTGTTTAGAACTTACAAAGCCTTTCTGTGTCCACTTATGCCACTCCCTCAGATGAAAGCCCAGAGCAGACCTGGCTGCTCCACGGCTGCCATGTCCTTCCTCATTCCTGACTGGTGCTACCTCAGAAGGAAGACAGAGCCTGAGGTGTTTCCAGGTGCCAGTGATCTGCACTTCCAGGCTTTAACAGGTTCCTTGTGACCCTGTGAAGATGAACCCACAGGACAAGTGTGTTCTCCTCAACAACAGTGAACTTTGTGAGGCTGGCTTCCTGGCTCTGAAGAGGCTCCTTCTCAGATCACTCTTTCCACATACACGAAACGGCAATCACCTCCAACTTAAAGGCTTTATTTGACACAAAATACAATATGGCTGCGGGAACACCGAACTCCAAAGATAAAGGAAAGAAAAAGAACCATGGTTCTATCTAATTTATAATTAACAGGAAGTCACTAAACGAGTAACAAATGGGTACACTTTACGGGAGAGTCTTTCTTAATGCCCATACCTGAAAGACAAAACAATTCACCTCATTAGAATACTGGAGAGTAAAACCATACAACCTGTTAAACACACATTTTTTGATTTTTAGACAGGGTTTCTCTGTGTATCTCCAGCTATCCTGGAACTCACTCTGTATACCAGACTGACCTCAAACTCAGTTTTAAGATAAAAGGCATACATTACTGAGCTTTGCTTAATAATAAAAATGTAACTGATTAGTTGTGAATTTGATACCACCATCAGCTGAGCTAAGCCAAAGGGATTTGTCACTTGAGGCACCAGGCTTGGAAGGCTAAAGCAGGAGTGTTGTAATCATTTTTTTTTTTCTTTTTGGTTTTTTCGAGACAGGGTTTCTCTGTGTAGCCCTGGCTGTCCTGGAACTCACTCTGTAGACCAGGCTGGCCTCGAACTCAGAAATCCGCCTGCCTCTGCCTCCCAAGTGCTGGGATTAAAGGCGTGCGCCGCCACCACCACCTGGCCCAGCATCAATTTTTATCTTAAGAGAAAAAACAAACAAACAAACAAACAAACAAACAAACAAACAGTTTTGGTGGTACATCCATGACCGCTGCTCTGGGAAGGCAGAGGCAGGAGGAATCCCAAAGTCCTAGGGCAGTCGTCCCTACACCAAGATACCCCAAACACCATGAGACCATCACTCCACACCCAAAGAGAGTAACAGATGGACAGTGAGATGTGCACCATGGACCTTATCAGGGCTGGGTTATGGACATTCACTGATTTATTTTGGTGGTTCTAAGACTGAATCCAGGTCTTTACACAGGCCAGCCAAGTATTCTATCACTGAGCTTCATACTCCAGCCTGGGAAATACGCAACCAATCATTTCTGACTCCCCTATCTTCCACTTTGCTAGACTGAGCAGGTGGAAAAAAACTCAGCCTGTGAAATGCTAGCTAAATCCTGTTTATCTTTTCAAAGCCTGGCTTAAAAATAAAGTATGGTGGCGAATACCTTTAGTCACATTATTCAGGAGGCAGAAGCAGGCAGTTCTGTTGAGGCAAGTCTAGTCTACAGAGCAAGTTCCAAGTCAGCCAGGGTTAGATAGACTTTTTCTCAAAAAAAGGGGGAGAGGGCGCGTGGAGGTGACGTCCCACCACTCCAGCTGCTTTCAGCTTGAGGCCAGTAGAATGACAGTAACTAGAAAACCCAGACTTAGAACCCCAAGCAGAGAAGAAACACCTACTTTTGGAATTCCCACTCTCTGTTGTCTAGCGGACACACCTGCCTCGTTTTGAGCCATCGAGAGATGCAGTGGAAATGAAAAGCATGCTGAAAGAGAAGAGAGTTACATGTCACTGCAGCCACCTACTGCCAACACCAATCACAGACTGTGCAGTGGGGTACGTGACAACAGCTTAGAGAGCAGCCTTGGGTGAGAGAGAGGGCAGCATGCCACATGACATCTTGGAACCCTTCTTATGGAAATACAAGGGTATTTCCAATAGGAACACGTGACATGCCTTTATTGCTAAGAACTGACTCAGGGAGCAGAGGACTATATTCTGACAGTGAGGTCCTGCCTCTTTAAGGGAATGTGCATCCTGGTGCTAACAGGATGCTTCTACTTCCCTGAGAAAGGAGGCCCTGAAATGTGAGAAAAGACAGCTATCTTTTCTCAACAACTTTTAGAAGATTCTATCCCTTCAGACTCGAGACCCTGTTTTTTAAAAAACAAGGCAACAGACCCCTCTGGATTTCCAAAAGGCAGAAGATGAGAGACTTCCTACCATGTCTAGGTACTGGGGACAGCTCATGCAAAGACAGGAAAGGCACCTGTCTTTGGCTCTCATCTCCCTGCCAAGCATCCTACAGAACCTGGGGATAACCTCAGAGGAACACATGTTCAAGGGCAAGGTGCCTGAGAATGAGGTTTTGGTGCAGGTGGACCCCATCTTCCTTTTAATTTAAAATGTAAAAAAGAGTGTATTTAGCAGACTGTACAATTTTACCACAGGAACATTTACAGTACCCAAGTTTATAGATGTCGACAACTATTACCTCATGCAAGCCCACTGCAGCCCTGGCAGGCAGGCAAGACAGATATTACTATCTGTACTTTACAGACAGGAAATGGAACCCCGGACAAATGACTTGTCTAATTCACAGAGCTAGTTCATACAAGACTCAAAATTAGCACCCTAGCCTAGTATAAAGGCTTCTGCCACAGCATCCCCAGGCTCTCCTCTATGGAAAGCTATTGGAATAAATTCATCTTCATGTATACTTTTCATTAAAAAAAATTTTTTTTTTTTGAGACAGTGTTTCTTTGCGTAGCTCTGTGACCTGGAACTTGCTCTGTAGACCAGGTTGGCCTTGAACTTGGGAATCCACCCATTTCTGCCTTCAGAAAGCTGGGATTAAGCTCCATACCTGGTTCAAAAATTCTTAAATTTAGATAAAAAGCCAGGAGTATTGACACATGCCTTTAATCCTAGGACCTGGAGGCAGATAAAGGCAGATCTCTGTAAGTTCCAGGCCAGGTAGAACTACAAAGTTAGTGTCTAAACAAATAATTTTTTTGTTTTGTTTTTCGAGACAGGGTTTCTCTGTATAGCCCTGGCTGTCCTGGAACTCACTCTGTAGACCAGGCTGGCCTTGAACTCAGAAATCCACCTGCCTCTGCTTCCCAAGTGCTGGGATCAAAGGCGTGTGCCACCACTGCCCGACACAAGTAAAAATTTTAAGTTACATTTATTTGTGTTTTTTGTGGGCACAAGTATGCAGGGCACTCGCAGGGCACTTGTGGCGATCAGAGGACGCCCTATGACACCCTGTCTCTCTATAGTGGGGCTTCCAGAGATTGAGCTCTGGTTGCCAGGATTGACACTAAGCACCTTCGCCCAATGAAGCACTTCAGCAGGGTCATCCCTTCCCCTTCATACAGAAGAATGTCACCTTTAGTCTCAAAACAGTGAGGGCAAAGCACCCAGGGTATCTGCAATATCTCCATCACTGTTTAACACCATCCTTTGGCTAATGTGGGCTGTGAAGTGGTCAAAGGGTCTGATGGAGAAGAAAGAGTGGCAGGAGAGAGCCACAAGGCCACAAGGAAAGCACTGGGCACTAGGAGAGGCCATGGAACTTGAATCACAGGTGTTGAGAGACACTTGCTATGCTTCTATGGCTTCTGGGAACTGGATGTGGGTTCTTTGGAAGAGCAGTGTATGCCCGTAACTGCTGACCCCTCATTGAGTTTTCTTGAAGACAACTCCTGAAGGTGGCTCAATACTGAAGACCTTGCTTAGGAAGGGTCCACTTAGCAATGAAGACAAATTAAAATTAGTCTTTCTTGTAAGGACTACTGTTTATCCAGTTAAAGGTAACTACCACGAGGACTTAAATCTGCTTTTACTGTCTGTATACGTCCTCTTGGGAGAAAGGAGGGCTCCTCATTCTCCCCTAATAATTCTCAACATGGCAAAGCAGGAAAAGAGCAATGCATGCACAAGCCACTCATAGATAAAGACGGTTCCTTACGTTACAGACTCCCCATGCAACCGTACACTCTTCGGAAGTAGCTGATGCCTGGTTGGCCTGACATTCGATGCCTGTGGGAACAAGGGTAAGAACATCACTGACCTGGGGGCAGAGGCTTCCAACCTCGCCAGCCACATCCTCAAGTGGTTAACTGGTCATTAGCTGTTTCAAGTGGATGGGAAAAGATGGAGACGGTTGTGTGGTAGGTCAAACCTACAATCTCAGCATTTAGGAGGCAGAGGCAGGATAATCTCTGTGTCTGAGGCTAGCTAGGGCTACTCACATGCTCTCCCTAGTAATTTTCAATTTTCATGATGTGCAGAACAGGAAAATTGGCAATGAATTTACAAAGTGTTATTGAAATTGGCAACCAAATAAAAGTCCCTTCTGAAAAACAAGTTTTGGAAAGACTTCCAGGTGAGTCTGAACTGTTACAGTGAGACTTTGTCTCAAACAAAACCAAGAAAATGACCACTCCCAAACTCAAGTACCCAAGTCAAGATTCACACAGTGCCACATGCTTGTTACCTAGAACTTCAGAGGCAGGGGCAGAAGGAACCATCTCACCAGCATGATTGCTTTGTTTGTTTTGAGGCAGGGTCACACTGCCCTGAATTTGCTTTGTATCCAAGGATGACACTGCACTACTGATCCTCCTGCCTCCACCTCCCACGTACTGAGATTCCAAGTGTAAACCATTATACTCAGATCTGTCATAAGTTTTTGTTACAGAAGTTCAATGTTTTACCTCATGTGATATTTTGAACATATTATGAGGGAAGCAGAGGCAGGAGAGTCATGAATTTGCAGTCACTATGGACAGCATACAGAGTTCTAGGCCAGCCTACTTATAAGGCCATCTCAAAAAACAAACAAAAAACATCACCACCAACAAAAAAACCCAAAACAAACCACACCATATTACGACATAAAGTATGGAAAAACATACTTCTGCTTTGTTGTCCCAGGAAGTATGCTCTCTCCTACCTGGGACACACTGTGTTAAGGAAGGGGGTAAGAAGGAACCTGAGCATTGTAATGTCTTCCACTATTTTCAGATGAAAGCGCCAAGAAGTTAGATGTTCTCTGGGTACAACCTGAGAAAACCCAAGGGACAGAGACTGGTACACACACACCAGAGACTCCACTCATGTTTAAACTGCTGTGTTTCGGCGATGGCTCTCCCATCTATATTAAAAATGGTAGCTGCTGATCTGTTCTCACTATAGCACAAAAATGAAAAGGTCTAAGTTCAAAGAAACTCTGAGGCGCTGTGGACCACCAGCAAATGTCACAAGTGTTTTCTCACACAAGACCCGACTCATGCTTTCTGAGCTGCAGTGATCACAGACTGTCCCACTATTTGGCTTTTGTTATCCATCTAGCAAATACTGAGTGCAGTTTTATTATGCACCAGACAACACATTAGGGCAGTAAACGACGTGGATAAAACTGAGACCCACGATTAGACGAGATAGGGGACGCCACAGCCACGTCCCGGGAGTATCTCAGAGACCCCCTGAGAGCCTCTGGGTGCACGGGTAAATGTGGAGCGGAGGATATACACGTTTATAACAGGCATGCACACTAAGCTGTTTGAACCCGGAAATGTAAAACTTGAGAATATATAGGACTGACTGCAAATTTACTTTATAATGTATTCACTTATTTACCTAATATATATGATGTGTTGCCTATACTGGAGTGTGCCTGGTGCCCTTGGAGGTCAGAAAAGGACCCAGAATCCCTTGGGACTGAAGTGACAGACCATGGTTATAGTAAGCCTGCATGTGGCTGCTGGGAACTGAACCTGGGAAGGCAGCCAATGCTCTTACCTCCTGAACCATCTTTCCAATCTGTGACTGTAATCTTGCCCAACAAAAACTAGCTTAGATAGGAATATAGTAGTTCAAACCTTAGCCCTAGCTGGCCTATAATTTGCCACAATACTCCTGCCACTGCCTCCCAAATGCTAGGCATGTAACACCACATCTACTACCTCCTCCTCCTCCTTTTTTTTGTTTTTGTTTTTGTTTTTTGAGACAGGGTTTCTTTGTGTAGCCCTGGCTGTCCTGGAACTCACTCTGTAGACCAGGCTGGCCTCGAACTCAGAAATCCGCCTGTCTCTGCCTCCCAAGTACTGGAATTAAAGGCGTGGGCCACCATTGCCCGGCCACATCTACCTTCAAAGGTCATTGTCTTTCACTATTTTTGCCTTTGTGGCTGCCTAAGATAGAAATAAAAAACAACTCTACCTACATCTCATTCTAAATGGGATCTTGCCTGATTCACAATGAGTAATTCATTGAGAGCCAGATATGCTCCCAAGACATCATTTTAAGGGACAATTTAACTCAGAAGGCAGAATCAGGTAGATCTCTAGTTCAAGGCCAGCCTGGTCTACATAGTCAGTTCCAATACAGCTATGGCTACACAGAAAAACCCTGTCTACAAAAACAACAACAAAACAATCTACTTCACACACACCAATGGATGAGATACACAAGTGCCTAAGAGTTTTGACCCTGCTTTGTATTCACTGGTAAAAAAGACAATTGAGCATAGCGGGACGACCACCATTTCTGTAACTTTCTTAACATCTTCCCATCCACCCCAAGTTACTTACAAAGATCCATAATGTGGTTCCTGCAGATGGCACAGTTATCAACCACAATGTCCCAGGCCCAGAGGGCTACTGCATTCCACTGCAAGGAGAAGAGGGAGAAACAATGCATTTTCCTTGTAACATAAGAGGCGAATTAGGATTTCAGCTCGTGGCTTCAGTTACCAACTCCCTGGCTATAGGGCCTACCAAAGAATGTTTTTGGATTATAATATTTGTACTACATCAGAGGATAACAGCAGCCCACACGTACACTCCCTTATTCCTCGAAAGATGGAGAATATATATGAACATGGCTATCTTTAATTTTTTGTCTATAAAATAATTTAGTCAGCCAAACCAACGTGAGGATATTATAACTATTTTTAAACACTCGTTTTAGCTTTAAATAAATACAACCTTGAACTATTGTGCAGCTTTCCCAGACAGTTGTGGAAGAATTCAAAATCTGCCTAAGTATTTGCTCTCCAGGCAGTTTTGGAGTCGGAGGCAGGGACGTGAACAGACTGAACTAAGATAATAAATGGATCACTAAGTGATAATCGTAGGATAAGCTGGATAGCAAGTTACCGACCCAGTGTCAGTACACAGAATGAGGTCATCACTTAAACCTTACCAGAGCACTGCAAGCAAAGTAGAATCCACTGCAATTTTCTTTTCCTCTTACCAAATAAACTGATGTTCCAATGTTCAGATGTCCAAACTATTACTTTGTTAGTTCTAGTAAGTCGATCTAAGACTTCTTATGTTAGGCAGGAGATCCCTTTCAAGGACTACTTTGGTTTGACTTCTCAAATTCAAGTATAAGAGTTCAGTAAATTCTACATTACTTCTACTATTCTTCAATATGGCTGCGGGCTGTAACTGAGCAGCAGTGGCCATGAGATGACAAAAAAAAAAAAAAAAAGGAGGGGTTGGGGATGGAGGGTGTTCTCAGTGACACGGTCCAAAAATAATACATACAAAGAAAATCCTTTCCCCACTTCAAGATCTTCATTTTGAGCAGATTTATGTAATCTTAGGTAGAAACCAACACTTTTCTCTTAAAGTGCTAGCTAGCAAACTATGTAGGGGGAATAGCATACAAAAGGACGTTTCATATTTTTGTTTTTCTGTTCCCAGGTCATTAACAATTAGTACTCCACCTTCTTAAATGGCACAAGTTCCGGGGTTGGTTTTAAAACAAAGCCCACCAGACTTTTTAATTACCATTTTGTGTTAGAAGTGTTCACGGGATATTAGAGAACCATTGGAGTGGCAGAAGCAGTGTGACAACTAGTAGACGTCTCAGAAGAACCAAGCTTTACCCTTGACTGTGGGTTTAGAGGCAAATGGAGGCCATCATACAATCGAGGGCCCACACCAGGTCCCTCGGAGTCAATAGAGTCTAGGATCCAGGAAGGGGCGGAGCAAGAACACCGGCAGAGCTCCTCTGCGGTGTCATCGCACGTTCCCGGTTTCCTCCGCAGTGCCCCATCCTCCACCCGCCGCAGTCTCTTCACGAGTCTCCATCGCACCCACCCCACCCTGTCCTTCCCCCACCTTTCAGTCACTTCAGTGACAGCTCAAGCGCTTGGCTCCCGCATCGAAGTCAACCTAGCGTATGCCAGTAAGCAGCTCTGCGATTGGCCCCACAGCTTCCCCAGCGAAACTAATATGTCCCCAGACAGTGGGCCACCATCATGCCGATCAACCCAAGGCCCGCCCCCCGGCTTCCTTTCGTGGTACCCGGTCCCAGGAACGCCCTGAGATCAAGACCTTTCCCCCGCGCCTAGCTCTTCCTCGGGCCTGCCAGCCACATCCGCGCCTCCCTAGCTTCCTTGAGGAAGGCGCTGGCGAGACCCAACCTTTTTAACTTCAAAGCGCTTCTTGCCCGCGCCGCTGTTGGTGCCGCTGGGGGTATCCACATCCATCGCTGCCGCCATTTTGGAAACACACTGTCTGTCGCGCGACCAGTGCGCCTGCGCATAGGCTCACTTTCCACCGCCTGCCCCGCACGCCAGGCTCCTCCTCCCGAACCCCTCCCCTTATTGGCGCGCTCGGGTAGAAGGGGCGGAGGCTGCTGTCACGCCCCTTAAAGGCGCAGGCGGAGTTTCCCCGTCGCTCTCAGCTGGGGGGGAGGAGGCTGGAGTGATTAAGGCGGGGTCGGGCGGGGTCGGGCGGGGCCGAGCGAAGGGAGCCAACCGGTGGGAATGTCCGTGAGGTCTCGTTGCTGCTCACGTTCTGGGAGGCCCTGTGGCCTGAATCTTTCATCTAGGGCGGCGGCTGCTTCCTTCTTCTGCCCCAGGATTTATACCTGGTTCAGACTCACAGCGCTGACCCCGAGTCCGCGGTGCAAGGCGCATAGGCTGGTCTGTGGAAACCCGAGACTCCACACCCGCCTAAAGCTGACCGTGGCCGGTTTCGGAGCCAGGCGGTGTGTGGCAGTCTCTCGCGAGGCCTTTGGCCCGGCATTCCAAGGGCTGGATACCGTCTGCCTTATGAGTTTCAGTTTGGGAAATTATTTGATAGAAAGAAAAGAAGCCTGAATGTCCTGCCCAGGAACAGAGCTGGCATTCTGTAGCTCTGCCTTTACCTTCTCACCAGAAAGGTGATGGGGAACACGTAGGACAAGATGCCATAATAACTCGCATAATCAGCCAGCCCTAAATGGTCCTCCTTTCTCTCCATTTCCTATCTGAATTTTGCTACTTGTGCTACGGTTAAATTAGTACATTTGTAGTGGCTGAACTTGAACTTGGGTGAGGCATTCTGATTTTCTTACCGGTCATTACCATCGAGCTAAAGAACATGTACTTTCTGTAAGCTTCCATGATTAGTCCAGCCCTCCACTGTTTTATCTCCTAAATTTGCAGAGGTATGGCTAGAATACATCACGCTTGAATTTCCTATGTGTTCTAGTTCCCTCAACAGGACAACAAAGAGGTTTTATCTGAAATATCCTCTTAAAAGAGATACTTATTGGCATGTAATAAAGCCTTGCTGAGCAGGGCAATACAACCTGAAACAACACCACAGTTTTAACTTACACAAAGACTTGTGAGAGCCTTGCAGGGTGTGTGTGTGTGTGTGTGTGTGTGTGTGTGTGTGTGTGTCTTTGCCCAAGTTCTACCTCCCACACTAAAACTCATTGATTTATGTGTCAACAGACCCCCTAAGGGATGCTAGAAACCCATAGTTAATTAAGATACTGAGGACATACTTATCTATTCTTCAGCAACTATCTTAAGTATGGTACTTGGTCTTTTAATTTTTGGATTATTATTATTGAGACAGGGCCTCACTCTGTAGCCCAGGCTGGCCTTGAAATCTTAGCAATTCTGTTACCTCTACCTCCCAAGTGCTGAGGATAGAGAGAGGTGAGGCACCATGCTCAGCTACACTGGGTCCTGTTTTAAACAGGAAAGCCACAGTGAAGTCAACTCTCAGGAAGGAAGCAAAACACAAATCAACAACTATATCAGGGAGCCTCAGGAAGCAATACATGCTATAGAAAACAAGAGGATGAGATTGAGGGGAGAAGGCAACAATATGTTGATTAATACACATACATTTGAACAAAGGCAGTTTTGTTATTGTGTGAACATTCTATAAAGTACTTCAGCAAACCTAGATGGGGTAGCCTTTTACACACCTGGGTTATATGATTAGCTTACTTCTCCTGGTTTCCAAACCTTTACACATTGTCACTATGCTGAATACCATAAGGAAGCTTAACACAATTGTATATCTAAACACAGCAAATATACACTAAAAATATGCTATAAAAATTCAGGTGCTATAACTCAGTTGTAGTGCACACAAGTCTCAGCATTACATCTCCAGCATTGCAACAAACAGGTGAAAAACACGAAACCAGGTGGGACTAGAGCGATGGCTCAGTGGTTAAGAGCACTTGTGGCTTTTGCAGAAGGCTCAGGTTTGGTTCCCAGCTTACAACTGTCCATAATTCCATTTCAGGCAATCCAATGCCCTCTTCTGGCCTATGTGGGCATGAAGGTGGCACACATAGCTGGCCACATGGCACACATACATACATATATGCCAAACTTCATACACATATGGTAAAAACAGGATCTTAAAAGAAACAGCTTTTTGTTTTCCTCTTCCAGGAATGGTGCTTTGAGGTGCTCAGAATGGTCCAGTGTTGACATACCGTCGTCGTTGTAGGCTTTCCTATAGTACAGCCTCTAACAAAACTAGGCTGCCTCAAACTCCTGGCAACTGGATTGTTTACCTTTATACCAAGAAGGTTGGGAAAGCACCGACATCCGCACGCAGTATTCGTGCTGTGAGATCCAAAGTCCTTATGAGATTGTCTAAGACAAAGAAGCATGTCAGCAGGGACAATGGTGACTCCATATTGATGAGCAGAAAATCGTTGTGAAAGTGTTGAAGGCACAAGCACAGAGTCAGAAGGCAAAAGAAACATTCAGCCTTCTTTTTTTTTTTAGGTTTTTCAAGACAGGGTTTCTCTACGTAGCCCTGGCTGTCCTAGAACTCACTCTGTAGACCAGGCTGGCCTGGAACTCAGAAGTCCGTCTGCCTCTGCCTCCCAAGTGCTGGGATTAAAGGCGTGTGCCACCACTGCCCAGCTGCAGTAAGAGCTCTTAAGGACTGGCCATCTCTCCAAGCCTCAGGATTAAAAAAAAAAAAGTATTTATTTTTTTGGCTGTGAATAATAATTGAGCCATCTTTGATTCTAACTGAAACTCTCGGCTTTCACAATTAATATCCTTTGCCTATGAGTTTATTTAGACAGGAGACAAAGTTTCAACTCTGTGCTTTGGGTTGTGCAGCTGCGCTGTGTGAAGGGACATTTCAGAGCCAGCTGCCATCCAATTCACTCTGGCCCACAGGCCCACTCGGTTATACAAAGTCCTTATGGATCCCACTGTGCACAGCAGTTAGGGTGCAGCTTTGGGGCTGTTTTTGCTTATCTTTGTTTAGTTTTTGAGACAGGGTTTCTCTCTGTTCCCTGGCTGTCCTCACAAGTCACAGAGATCCACTTGCTTCTGCTTCCTAAGTGCTGGGATCAAAGGCATGCGCCCACTGCTCAAGGCTTTTGCTTATCTTTCTGACAACCTTTTCTAGATGTTGTAGACAGAATTCTTTTGTTTTGAGCACTACCTACTTCTCTTTGGACTTTATTCTTTTTTTGTTTTCCCAGTTCCTGCTCTAGCCATATTAGGAATTTTAGGGAAAGACTTCAGTTGAGGAACTAGAATAAAAATTCTGATTATTTTTGTAAGTGAATGAAAAAAGCAAAAAAAAAAAAAAAAAAAAAAGGCCATGACTGCTCTTTGGTATGGTGGAGCAGAAAGTTTATTGATAAAAGGGAGAGCATAACCAGAGGCAGAGACATCTGGGAGTGTCCAGAGTGGCCATGACCCTGAGCCAGCATGAGGAGGAGAGGAGGGAGGGGACTAGCGAGGGGAGAGGAGAGAACCAAAACGGCTGGATTACATGGAGAAGAGCAGCAGTGGGAATGGCAGCCCGACTGACCCCTTGGCTGGGGCTTGCCAGCCATACCCTGTGCCAGTGTTAGATATGATACATAGGCACCTCAGCTCTTCGTCTCAGGGTTTGAAACTTAACACTAAGGACAACCAATGGCCTTTGTCAAGATGGAGTTTCTCTGTGTAGTCTTGGCTGTCCTGGTATTCACTCTGTGGACCAGGCTGGCCTTGAATTCAAAAGATGTGCCTACCTCTGCCTTTGGAGTGCTGGGATTAAAAGTGTGCACTACCACTGCCTGCCACCCCCTGCACTCCTCCACCTTTCTGATGCTGAACTCCTGAAGCTGGCCCTTTAGAAGGTGCAAGTTTATCTCCACTTTGAGCCACACCTGGGAGATTGGAGAAGCCTTACTAGAATCCATCTGGCTACTCACCATTGGGTGCCAGCCATGAACACAGTATATACATGCAGGCAAAAACACCCAGACATCTACAATATAAATATATTTGTATGAATATAAAATAAAAAGAAATCTTTAAAGATGTGTGCCACTATATTCAGCCTAAAGATTAATTTTTTTTATGCTATCCATGTGCAGGCGCCCTTGGAAGCCAGAAGAGATTATCAGATTCCCTGTAGCTGGAGTGACAGGACGTTATTGCTGTCCACCGTGAGTACTGGAAATTCAACTTGGGTCTTATGCAAGACCAATCAATACCTGCTCTTTACTGCTGAGCCAAGCCAAATCTCTGGTTGGCTGCCCTTTTCTATTAGAGTTGAGGTCTTTTTCCCAAGTTAGCCTTGAACTGGATCCTTGGATTTGGCCTTTGAAGTGACTGGGATTAGAGGCAAGGACCTATTCCTCTGGCTAAGGTCTTTTTTTTTTTTACACATACATTTGTGTGTATGTATGATGTGTATGAATGGCTTGCATGTGGACCTCAGAGGAGAACTTGCAGAGGCTGCTTCATTCCCTTCACATGTGAGTCCTGAGTTTCAGCCTGAGGTCCTCAGACCTATGTGGCATGTGCTTCCTGCTGCTGAGCTATCTCAATGGCTCCATTTCCTCTTACATTTGACTAATATTCCACTGTAGCTGCTGTGTTGTTACCTTTTCATCTGCCAACGGACATTTGGGTTTTCCCAAATTTTGGGGTATTGTGAACAATGTAGCTATGGATTTAAGTATATTCAGATCTTAAGTTATTTTCTTTGTGCATTCAGAACTGGAATTGCTGAGTATATGTTATTTACTCTTTTGAGAAACTGACAGAGTTTCTTCAACAGCAGACTTCTTTTTTCCCCTAAGGCTAGCTGTCATATAGCTGGGGCTGACCTTGAACTCCTGATCTCTTTACCTCCCAAGAGGTGGGGTTAGAGATGGTCTGTGGGAGTGGAATCGTTAGGATTCCTGCTGTAAGACTTCATGCAGCAACCAGTCCTACTTACTATACACTGTGGTCCTGACTGAGTAGTGGAATCTCTTAACTAGAGACACTAGTTCTAGTCATCTAGTGGCCCAGAAGATAACCATCGTAGAGGCTGCCTACCCTTAATGCATGTAGCATGTTAAGAAGCATGAGCAGGCATGGAGCAGTAAAATCTTTAACATCTGCAAAAGCATACATTTGTGTATATAAGCGGTGGGAGAAACGGCTCAACAGTAGTGAGTAGTGAAGCTCATTGGTTCCCAGGGTCTGTAAAGCAGCTTCCAACCACCTAACTCAAGTTTGAGGGGATCCAACATCCTCTGTGACCTTCTTGGACACAAGACACACACGAACCTTACATACATACATGCAGGCAAATACTCATACACATAGAATAAAAATAAATAAATCTCAGGACTGGAGGGATAGCTCAGGAGTTAAGGGCACTGGCTGCTCTTTCAGAGGTCCTGTGTTCAATTCCTAGCAACTACATGGTGGATCTTATGGGATCCAGTGCTTTCTTCTGGCATGTATGCATACATGCAGACAGAGTACACTTACATAGAAATCCGTAAACTAAAAAAAAGAAATCTAAGAAAATTCTTTAAAACAATATAAGACCTATGAAATAGAAACTTAAGGGTTCTTTGGAAAGTCGGTTGGATGGTGTTTTGCTGGGACAAACATGTGAAGGAATGCTTAGCTGAAGTGGACGCAGGTGAAAGGCTAAGGCAGACTCCGGAAGGAACACGTCACTGAAGCCGACACAGGTGAAAGGATGTTCTGCTAAAGCACACATGTGAAAGGACACGTGATGAAGGGTTCTTTGAAAATGATACGCATGCATTCGTCTGCCCTACATTGCACAGTTGAGCTACATTTGAGATTTCAGAGAGAGAAACACACCCAAAAACTTGCAGGGTGTGCGGCAGTTTCTTGCTGCCTCTTCGGACTTTGGCTGATTGGCAGAGTGATGTCAGCTGAGACAGATGCACATCCTGAGACAAGACCCTGGGAGGATGCGTGATGTTTAGAGGGATATTATAGGACTCAATGGACAGTGATGGAGGCTGAGCTTGGCTTGCTTGTAGAGCCAGCCGTGCAATGCTTGTGGGTCTCATGTCTTAGCTGATCTTCACTTCCCTGAGAGAGGCACAGCTGAGAACTTCTGGCGTCCCTCAGGATCCCCACTTCTGATTCCTGCAGAGGCTGACTGAGGCCTGGCTGTCTCTGCTAAGCAGTGCCACAGCTGCTGAGTCCTTTGCTATCCCGATTACTGAACTGGACTGCTGGTGTATCGGTGAAGTGTTTGCGAGTGGATCGAGCTGCCGCTGTTGACCTGTGAACTGAACTGCGGATTTCCAGACAACACAGACGGGAGTTGCTCCAAAGAACCATTTCTAGACAGATCCACTTCCCCTGTACCCTTTCTTTTCTACTACCTTTGGTGGGTGGTGGGCTACAAGAGAAGTTAAAGTGTTTTAAGAACCATCATTAAGGACTGGAGAGATGGCTCAGCCGTTAAAGGCTAGGCTCACAACCAAAAATATAAGAACCATCATTAAAAATAAGCCTTAAAAAAAATAGTTACAGACCTGTTTGTTTGTTTGTTTGAGACAGTTTCTATGTATAGTCCTGGCTGTCTCAAAAACCTAAAAAAAAAAAAAAAAGGAAAAAGTCATTACATGTCTGTAAAATTTTGTTCATACACTTTCCTATTTTAACTTACATAATTAATGCATTCTCTCTACAAGTCCCATGTACTTAACCCCTAAGTCTCCCTAAGTTTATGCCACTGTGCCATACACACATCTTTTGTAGGACATGGACATGGTGCCAAGCAGCAGTTGCATTTGGAAAGCTGAGGTAGGGTTTCCATGGGACCCATGGTTGAAATGTCTCAGAAAGAAGTGTCTTTGTGTGTGTGTCAGGACATGAAGAATATGAAAATGTTATTGTGGGGCTGGTGAGATGGCTCAGTGGTTAAGAGCACTGACTTCTCTTCTAGAGGCCATGAGTTCAAATCCCAGCAACCACATGGTGGCTCACAACTATCTGCAATGAGATCTGATGCCCTCATATGGGTGTCTGGAGACAGCTATAGTGTACTTACATATAGTAAATAAACAAACAAACAAAAAAGAAAATGTTATTGTGAATCTCTAGAATGTGTCTGATTTATTTTTTTGAAACAGGGTCTATATAGTCCTGTCCTGGAACTTGCTAGTTACACTAGGCTGGCCTCAAACTCACAGAGATGTTCCTGTCTCTGTCTCCCATGTGTTTTTGTTGTTGCTATTTTTTTTTTTTTTGTTAGTAGAATCTTTTTTTATTCAGAAAAAAAAAAGACCAAAAACAAAAAAAAAAAACCAAAAAATAAAAATGAAACCCAAAACCAAAATTTTCCAAACACACACAGGAGGGGGTATGGGTAGGGGGAGGTATCTGTCCGTCCAGCCCCAGCCCCCAGCCCATGTGGTTTTGGCAGCAATAAGGGAAATGGGGTAATGGCCCAAAAAATAATGGTGTGTGTGTGTATGGAAAGAAGGGGGTGCAAAAGCCAAAGGGAGCGGTGGGGGAGGGGACAGATGAGGTCAGTACTGGGAACGCCGCAGGTGACAGGCCATTTCATAACATTTCTTGTTGACCAAACCACCGTGGACACCTTCTTTGCCCATCAGCAGGACTAGCGTCTTGGCAGTCTTGGTGACAGTGACATTGAAGGTGGGGGCTCCTCCAGTGCTCTTGGTACGAAGATCCATTGTAAATTCCCCGTCTTGCAGCAGTGAGTCCCGAATCACAGAACATTTCTGGCCCCCAAGTGTCAGCCCATTCATGAAAAAACTTGACCGGTCTTTGCCTACCAGGACACCAACCTCAGCTGGCGTAATGCTAACGAAGGTCTTCCCGGGGACGGTGGCCCAGACGGAGGGCGAGTCCTTGTAGCCTACGATGGCCGCGTCCTGACAGGTCCCGTCCGCCATAAGGCTGTCGATGTAGGCGTTCCACCGGGCCATGGCGCTGCTGCTGGGGCTGCTGCTGGGGCTGCTGCTGGGGCTGCTGCTGGGATCGCGGGCTGGACTCGGGCTGGCGGGCGGGGGAAGGTAGAGAGCTCGGGGCACGCGCTGCCGTCCGGAACGCGGCTCTGTTAGCTGTGCAGCAGCCCTCGCACCGCCACTCGCTATTTTAAATTATGTGTCTGTGTGCCCACAGAGGCCAGAGGTGTCAGGTTCTCCTGGAGCTGGAGCCACAGGTGACCGCTGGCTACACTATGTGCTGTAAGGATCCACTGAGCCACCTCCCAGCCCTGAGTCTCAGATCTTTAAAGGTTTAAATATCCATAATTTTGCAAATTAATCATACTTCCTTACAAGAATCTACTTCTCTACGATGTTCAGGGCAGTGGCCTTTAAGTCACGAGAGTTTCAGCTTACAAGGCTTCTTGTGTCTCCTCTAGAAGCAGGATTTTGTTACGTAGTTCATATGACCCAGAACTCAAAACTAGTGATCCTCCTGCCTCAGTTCTCTCCTAGCTGGGTTTGCAGCTGAGTGGCATCATGCTAGGCCTGACATGGACTGTCAGGAGCCCTATGGGTCAGTTTTGTAGTCAATCTTTTAATAGACTAGATCAATCCTATTGTTTTCTCCTCCCTTCAGACAATGATCTTACTGGATTTACTGTTATCCTGCTGCATACCAGTTAATATTTAGTAAAGCAGAATGTTCTTTTTTTTTGTTTGTTTGTTTTTGTTTTTTGAGACAGGGTTTCTCTGTGTAGCTCTGGCTGTCCTGGAACTCACTCTGTAGACCAGGCTGGACTCGAACTCAGAAATCCACCTGCCTCTGCCTCCCAAGTGCAGGGATTAAAGGCATGTGTCACCACTGCCCATCGAATAGAATGTTCTTAATGTCAATCTATAAACTTTACTGTCTTAGTCATTTTTTTTTTTGCTGTGGTGAAATATTATGACTGAAAGCAACTTACAGTAAAGTTTATTTTGACTAACATTTCCAGACAAGGGTCCAAATGGTGGCAGGAAGATGCTGGTTGATCTTTTTTGTCTACACACAGGAATCAGGGAGAGAACAGGAAGTGAATTAGGGCTATAGCCATCATAGCCCACTGCCAGAAACACTTCCTCCAGCAAGGTTCCACCTCCTAAAGGTTCTGTAACCTCCCAAACAGCACCATTAGCTGGAGAGTTCGCATGCATGAGTCTATGGTGACAATTTTCATTTAAACCATCACAGGCTACAATAAAACAAACACACCATACCACTCTGTATTGTTTTATAGTATATTTTAAAAATGACAGTAACAAATGCATTCCTCTTATTTGGGAATGAGATATCCATTTTCATTGAATAGGGCCTTAAAAAAGTAACAGTATTTTGTCCAAACAGAACTTATATAATTGCACAAAAGCCATACAAAGCGTTAAGAAATGTCAAACAAGATTGTAGTTTCTGGTTTCTGGTGGGCACACGGCCTGTGGGGCCTGAAGTCCAGGGGTGACCCTAGAACCCTGACCCATAAAATACTGATAGTCAAAGCTCCTTGGTGGCCAAAGAAGCTCCCTTCCCATGTGGATTCCACTGCAGTGTTATGAATATACATGATGACATCATCACTTTTTCAGCACCAGGAACATCTGAAAACACTTCAGTTTAAAGATCTGCTAAGGTCTACAACTTACATAATCTGCTCAGTTTGGGGCCTTAGATGCCACTTCAGGAGATTAAGAATAAAAACATTAGCTATGCAGTAAAACCTTCTTCTGTACAGGGTTCTTTATGATACCATTAGCTTGGGCATCCACTTAAACGTCTTTCTTTCTTTTGAAACAGTCTTTCCAGATAGTCCTGGCTGTCCTGGTACTCGCTATGTAGACCAGGCTGTAGAACTTCAACTCAGAGATCTGCCTGTCTCTGCCTTATGAGTGCTGGGATTAAAGGCGTGTGCCATTACCTCCTGGTTTAGTAAGTGGTCCTGGCTTCATCTCTTCTCCTCTAGTCAGCGATGGTAGACGGTTCCAACTCAGTTCCAACTGTTGAGTTGGCAGGGAATTCTGGGACTCTGTTACAAAACTTTCTATTGCAGTCTCTGTATTATTATTTTCATTTTTTTGAATCAGGGTCTTAATCTGTAGCCCAGGCTAGTCTTGAACTCATAACAATCTTCCTGCTTCAGTCTTGTAAGTGCTATGGTTACAGGTGTGAACTACAATGCCTGGGTGCAGTCTGTTTGCACAGTAAACATGCACCAGATGCTGAAATAACCGCATAAAACCATGTGACACTGGGTACCCAGATAGGGTACCCTTCATTCAAATGGTTATATTAATAATACAGCCATCTCTCTCCAACCCAGGGAAGAAAACTGAGCCGAGGATGTAGTTCAGAGGTGCAGAGCTTATTTAGCATGTCTAAAACACTCCTGTATTCAATCCCAGCATTATAAAAAAAAAGTTACTGGCTGTGGTGGTAGTGCTGGTGTACACCTTTAATCTCAGCCCTTGGGAGGCTGAGGCAGGTGGTTTTCTTTCAGTATGAGATCAGCCTGGTCTAAATGGTGAGTTCCAGGAGAGACTCTGTATCAAAACCCAAACCAAACACCAAATAGCAAACTAACAGGTAAAAAGACTTTAAGAGGAAAGACTGGAGCATACATGCACAAACCACTAACTCTAGAAACATGAGGTATAGTTAGGTTACTCTGTGTGACTCCCTGCTCGCTCGGTGAGTCTCATTGCACGTGCTGGTGTACACCTGTAACCCCTGCAAGGCCTCACACATCTGACGCAGCTGAGGCATGGTTCTGATAGTCAAACTGAAAGGTTTGGCTGCCAAGGTTAATCTGGGACTCAATGGATAGCAGGTTGGACCATGGATTTAATTCACCAGAATTCCATCAAAGCCACCCTAACCATCAGTAACATCTCCAGAACTTGACCGTAATGTAAGTAGAAGTTGGTTTCCTCTCTCACTCTGCTATAAAAGCAACCCAGACTTTCAGCTAGAAAGGTGAGAACTACAGACGATGACTTACAGAAAAAAAGTTACTCCAAGGGAAGGCACAGAAGCCAGGTGGGTGAGAAGCCATGGTAATGGATTCATTCTTCCTTCTTTAAAAAGTAGGTTAGGTCTGAGACCTGGAAGATGGATGGCAGGCAGAAAGGACAGACTCTGGGTGGGCAGCTTCCACTGCTACAGCCCTCAAGAGAGATTGACAAGGCCTTGTGGGTGAGCAGAGGGTCACTTGTGTCCTAATGTTTAGTTCTCATACTACCTTTGTCCCCTGGTAGTTTCTAGGTGTACTGTAAATTTTCTTTTTCTTTTTTTTTTTGGTTTGGTTTTTCGAGACAAGGTTTCTCTGTGTAGCCCTGGCTGTCCTGGAACTCACTCTGTAGACCAGGCTAGCCTCGAACTCTCAAACTCAGAAATCTGCCTGCCTCTGCCTCCCAAGTGCTGGGATTAAAGGCGTGCGCTACCACCGCCTGGCGTAAATATTCTTAAGATGTGTCAGCCACCTGCACTGCAGAGACTGCCTGCTAATCTTCTAGCTTCCACTTCCCTAACAGAAATATGGGAGGTAGGGGCAGATCCCACAAACCTACTGTATTTACATTGTAACAGTTGGCATGTTTTGTTTATCATGGGTCTATACACACTCAGATGTAAAAGAAGTCAACACACTAGCTCTTAGGGCTGCCCTCTATCACATAAGCTCATTTTATTTTCGAGACAGGGTTCCTCTGTGTATCCCTGGCTGTTCTGGAACTCTATCTGCAGACCAGGCTGGCCTTGAACTCAGAGATCTGCCTGCTTCAAGTGCTAGTGTTAAAAGCCCAGCTCACGGAAGCTTTTGGATCAACCATTTGTATTCATCTGGCCCTGACCTGCTCACCTTGCAATCTGGGTTGTACAACTGAACCCGATGCTCTATTTTGGGAAAGAAACATGGCTCTGCCACTGCCTTGCCATGCCATCCCTAGCATTAAAGAGGTGGATTGTATGGTATTCACAACTACTGAGTGCATTCCATATATTTAATTTTATTGGTAGTGCAGGTATCTAACACAAGACTGTAGTACTCTTTGTTTTGTTTTGATTTTTAGATAGGGTCATCATAACGCCATGGGTGGCTTGTGACTTGTTATGTAGACCAGGCTGGTCTGGGCACTGACCTTATGACGATATTCTGTATCCAGAATGCTGAATTGCAGGCACTAGCCACTATGTCCATACTGGGTTTGTCATGCCCCCCCCCCTTTTTTAAATTAAAGGGAGGTTTACTGGGAAGCTACTCTCAGGCAATTTCACTAGCCCCAAGGATTGAGGCCAGGGGAGTCACCATGGAGCATGGGAGAGAAGAAGAGGTATCACACTGATTTTGACAATACATGGTTGCAAGTAGCTACATGGATCAATTCATTAAGAACTTATAAAGAACAGAGTGGTAGTAGATAATGCTTTTAAGGGAGGCAGGAGGCGGGTCTCTGAGTTCGAGGCCAACAGACTGAGTTCCAGGGTAGCCAGGGCTACACAGAGAAACCTTGTTAGAAAATAAACAAATAAACAAACAAATACCTATAAAGGTGAGCTGGGCACGGTGTAGGAAGATCAATAATTTGAGGCCGGCAATAATTTTATATTGAGTTTGAGGCCAGTCTGGGCTACATAAGCTACTGTCACAAACCACAGCAATCTATGAAGGACCAGAGACACATAGTGACAATTTTGTCTAAGAAAAGAACCTAAGAAAGACATGAAGGTGGACATTTGAAAAAGATCTTTAAATTGAAGAAAACAGAGCTCAAGGTCTGGATTTGTGGAGAAACATAGACACATTTCTTTCTCTTTCATTTTCTTCCCTAGAAGAACCTAGACACTTTCCAGGTCCTGTGTAAGCAAATGGGAAGAAAGATCCAAGACTCTTGTTGGCTGGCTGTGATGCTATATTCTGGCTGAAAGGAAACACAGCAGGATGTCTGTGTTCTCCGAGGCCTGGTGTGATGTTGGACCAGGAGGCAGAGGCCATGACAAGTAAGTACTGGCCACCTTAAACACTAACTGGTAGCTTTTATCAGAGACCGAAATGTTGGTGAGAAGCTAAACATGTGGGCCTCACACAACCGTCTTAGGATGTTAAGATGTTGTGGATCTCAGTAGAAGTGCAGGAAGGGATGAAGAGAGTTTTCTGTTGAAATGTGTGTGCTGGAATGCAGGGGTACATATAACCAAGCCCTTACCTTACATCCACATGTTAAACTTTCTGGATCATTAACTTCTCAGAATGAATGTCACTAAAGTCCTAGTAACAGATTATTCCAGACTTACATCTACGTAACATGAACATGTCCTTGCTCATCTGGTGGTGCAGTCCCCACGGCAGCTGTATCTAATCCCCACAGAGACACTGACTACTTGCATAGGCAGGGACCCAGTCTTGGACCTGGGTGCATGTGTGCTACAGTGCTGGTCAAGAGGTCCTGCTGCAGATCTGTTCAATGTCTTTCATCTCTTTGGGACAATCGGCAGAGAGGATGAGAGGTGAGTCCTGAGTCACCACTACATCATCCTCAATCCGAACTCCTAGACCTCGAAACTTCTCTGGGGCATCTTTGTCATCCTCTGGAATATAAATGCCTGAGAACAGAGAAGAGGGCTGTGGTCAGTGACAGTAACCAGTGGATCAGAGGCAAGTTCACCTCTGTTACAATGTCCTCATCTGTGCCTGATGGCTCTTCATGCACCGTGCACCTCAGAGCTCTGATAATTAGATGAACTACTGCACACAGCAGAGCTGTGTAGAGGAAGCTCAGTCAGGTGGCTCTCCTTAGCTAGGATTGCTACTGCTGTAGCCATTTTGTTTAGTAGACTACAGGCTGCATTCAACTATGATCTACCAACCATGACTGTCATAGTCTAGTGATTCAGGGAAGCCATTAATTTATAAATATGTTATACACAAAGGAACCAGCAGATTATGTAAATGTGTCTTTCCTTGCCTAAAAATCCTCTGCAGAATGGCTATTTAGCTAAAATACCATATGAAGTCAGCTGTGATGGCATGCACCTATACTTAGAAGGCTAAGGAAGGAGTATCAGTCTGGGCTAGATAATACATTTAAAGCCAGCTTACAATAAACAGTTAAGTCCCAACTCAAGAAAACTCCAAAAGTGAATTAGAAAAAAGATAAAATGTATTAAAACATATTAATAATATAGATGTATTAGCCAAAGCTACAGAAACTGTCGGGTTTTCCCCTCAGAAAACTATAAGGAAAAAGGTCTAAATGTATGTATAAGACATTAAGGGACTAGAGAGATGGCAGAGCAGTTAAGAGCACTGACTGCTCTTCCAGAGGACTAGTTCCAGCAACCACAGCACAACTGTCTGTAACTGTAGTTCTATGGGATCCAACATCTTCCTCTAGCCTTCACAGACAGTGTATACATGTAGTGCACAGACATTCACCAAGGCAGAGCACCCATATACATAAAATAAAAATAAAGATGTAAAAAGAAGATTAATATATGTTTGGAAAAGTCTCGACATCCCAGGAACTTTTTGTAACAGTCTCATGTAGCTGAGGCTGGCTTTGAACTCCCAATCCTCTTTTGTGCTGGGATTACAGGCATGCATCACTATGCCTGGTTTCCAGACCCTCTTCCTAAATCTCAAGTCAAACAGATTTCAGGTCTTTGAACAGTAAAGAACCTGCAAACTAGCTGGTCATGGTAGCTCACAGCTCTAATCCCAGCACGCAGGAGTCAGAGGCAGACAAATCTCTGAGTTTGAGGCCAGCCTGGTCTATACAGTGAGTTCCAGAAAAGCCAAAGCAACACAGAAAGGCCCTGTCTGGACAAACCAAAACCAACCAACCAACCAGTCAACCAAACAAAAGAACCTGCAAACATCCTCAGAAGTTCTCCAATAAAAAGCCTGGCAACTGTAGTTGCCATTACTAACTGGACAGCCTCCACCGCCACAGAGCAACACGACTGACTGCTTCTTCACAGGACAGTAAAAGATAGTCCTCAGTCAAAATGCACTTAATTTTCAGACTTTGGGTTCTGTTCTCATAATGCAAGCAGCATCATTTGAATAGTCAACTGCTAACCGCCTTTGCTCACACTGAGGTCATACTTTACTTTTCCACTCTGCCTAAAAGGCACTCATTTGAATCAGGCAACTGTCTGGGAGGATGGTGGGTAGTTCACTGTAGGTGGCAGGATGTTGCAACCCACCACTACTAACTGTGAGGCGATCATGAGTTGGCTCTCATAAAGGAAGGATTAAAAAAAGATTTATTTCTTAATATCAACTTACAAAAAGTATTTGCCATCTCTTGTTTATCAGAGGAGTCAAATTAAACAAACTGTGATGTTAAATAAGAAAGCTCTAGACAAACCTAAACATTTTATATTACGTAAATAAAAATAAGCAATGTATACTTTGGGGTTAACCCATGCCTTACCTGGTTCAACTGTGATCACCATACCAGGCTGCAGAGGGAGTGAACGAGGCATGTCTGGAGTGTCATGGACATCCATCCCGAGGTAATGGCCAACATGATGAGGGCAGTATTTTCGAGCAGCCTGGAAAAGATAATTACCACAGTGTCATCAGGGCAGTGAGCTCTTACAGGGAAAGCTGGCATGTATAAATCAGTGACATGTGATGTTAACTGTCCTTTCTACGATTTGTGTTTAACCTATCCTTGGACTAATGCTTAAGAGACCTGACAAACTGCAACTTTCTGGAGTGTGTGGTTTGTGGTGTGTGTGTGTGCAGGCCTATGAATGTGTCTGTGGAGGTAGAAGTCGATGGTGGATGGCTGCCGGTGTCCTCGTGTGGGTGTGCATGCCTAATGTGTGTGGCGAGAGAAGAGCTCTCCCTGTTCTCTCCTACTTCCTAGGCTCTTGGGACTGGACTCAGACCATCAGGCTTGGTGGCATGTGACTTTATACATGGAACTATCTTGTCATTCCCCTTGCCCCCCAAGCTGTGTGTGTGTGTTTTGGACTTCTTGATGAGCTTGAAGCTCATTGGTTGGCTAATTAGGGGGTGAACAAGTCCCCAGAGATTCCTTTAGTCTCTAGCTCCCAGTGCTGAGAGGCTGGGATCAGGCTGCTGTGCTCGGTCTTTTCATGTATCTATGTGTACTTTGTCTCTACCTCATGACCTTGGAGGCCTGAAGAGGGTATGAGATTCCTTGAGACTGTAGTTACAGACGGTTTTGTGTGTGTGCTGGGAATCTGAGTCCTCTGAAAGAACAGCCAGTGTTCCCACACTTTGGGCCATCTATCTAGCCTCTACACCTACCTTTTTATGTGGATGCTGGGGATCTGAACCCAGGTCCTCATGCTTGTTTTAGAAAGCACTTTACCACTGAACCATGTCCATGCCTGCAAACTGTTACTTCCTCAATGCACACTTAAACTATACTGCCTTCCATCCCACTGTCAAATGTATTATACACTGGCTAAGGAAGTTCAGTAATAACTGACAAAAGAAAATCATTTTTGGGTCAAAGTGTTGCTCAGTGGTATTTGCCTACCACACACAGTCTTCTGTTTGATCCCTAGCAAAGAGGGTGGGGACATTGCCTTTCTGGGGAAAGGAAGGACAGCAATGTTCTATTATCCTTACAATTTATATGTCTTAAAAAGGAAGACACAAAATATGAACACACACTTGAAATCCTAACTCTTGGTCTGTGGAGACAGGAGAACCTCAGCTATTGAGTTCAAGGCAAGCCTAGGTTACATGAGAACTTGCCCCCACCATAAATGAAATAAAAAAAAAAGAAGATATACTCATATATCTCTCTTGGGAAGCCTACTCTAGATACCCTAAGTATCCCATGTCAAACTATAGAGTAGGCATGATTTTGTGTTTACTGCTGTGGATAGTTCTATCAGTTAATTAAAAATTTGTTGGCTTGCTGGGCAGTGGTGGTGCACGCCTTTAATCCCAGCACTTGGGAGGCAGAGGCAGGTGGATTTCTGAGTTCGAGGCCAGCCTGGTCTACAGAGTGAGTTCCAGGACAGCCAGGGCTACACAGAGAAACCCTGTCTCGAAAAACCAAAACAAACAAACACCAAAAAAAAAAATTTGTTGGCTTGGTTCAGGGAATTTATAACTTCTTTTCTTTGCTAATAGGAATCCTGGAAATCTAAATTTGGAAATGGAGGATGCTTAATGCTTGTGTGGCTCAGGGTCTGCAACTATAATGGATACCATTACATTTAGGTGTAGAGAAAACCCATTAAAGATATGGCCCTTGGGAATTTTGCTAAGTCTCAATAGTGTAACTGAACCAACAGACAGCCTCCCTTCTGACCTCCAGAATCCCCAGGAAAGGATTAGGAGTTAACCTTCTCTCCTTGTTTGTGTTCTTCCTACCCTGCCTGTACAGACTTCATCTTGTTTCTGAGTACTGCACTGGCTCTACAGCAGGCAATGAATCAGAATGTGCTGCCATCTTCTGGCAAAAATAAGTACTGACTCCCTTTGTTTTAATCTATGTTAAAGCTAAATCCATTTTACAAAGAATTGCAAGACAGTGTCCAAGTCCCATTAGCTTTACTAAGCAGGGCAAATATTGAGTAGCATGTTGCTGGCTATTCTTAAGGACTGGGGTGAAGAGGGAGGTACCTTGAAGGTGCTGTCCTTGCTGGTCTTTGTGATGCCCAGGTCCTTGAGCTTCTGTCCCATCAGTGTCAGCATCGTGCTATAGATGTTCTCCAAGCTCATCCCAGGGGAGCACAGTGTCAAACAAGCTTTTTGGATTTCTAGAACAGCTTCATAGAGCTCTGCCTGAGGTGCGGTGAATCTAAGCACAGGAAACCCAGGAATGTGGGCTATGTATCGAGGAGTCAGGCCTGGCAGCAGTGTTTCACCAGCCAGCAGCTTGCTGGACCTTCAATAGTTTCTTAAGGTGGAAGTTTAGACATTACTGATTTAAACATTTTTTTTTTCTTTTTAATTTCTTCCTGGTGCTGCAGTTTAAACCCAAAGCCTTGTATATACCAGGCAAGTACTTACCATTTTCCTTTCCAGCTTAAACATTTAAACTTCTCAATTGGGCATGGTGGTATAGGACCCAGTAATCTCAATACACAGTAGGTGGAGGCAGGACTGTATCTCTGAGTCCAGCCTGGGCTACACAGTATGTTTGCAATAGCTTGGGGTACTTAGTGAGATCCTGCCTGAAAGAAAAGTCACACATTTTTGCTTCAGCTGTATTTCCCTAGTATTTACACATAGTATTTCCATTACTGTTCCATCAGAAATACACTGTAATTTATTTCACTGATGCCTTTTTGCTATTTTGTCTATTTTTTTTTTTTTTTTTTTTTTTTACAAGACAGGGTTTCTCTATGTAGCCCAGGCTGTGCTGGAATTCACTATGTAGACCAGAGCTGACCTCCAACTCAGAGATCAACCTGCCTCTGCCTCCCACGCGCTGGGATTAAAGGATGCACCACTGCTGGTGTTTCTTTGTAGCATAAGTTATGCAGAATTCAATTACTAGCTTCTGCCCTTTTCTTAATTAGAGCCTCAGAATGTAGGCTGGCCTTGAACGCTTTTTAAAAAAGGTAGTCTGATGTGCTTGCTGAGCTCCAAAGGACAGTCCTAGGACGGGGTGTTAAGTGCAGTAACTGCAGAGTCGTCCGTCACTCTAGCCCCTGAGCTTTACTCTTTATCACCTGCTTCAGCTTCCTGAGTCCTGGGGCTATAGAAGCACACTCCTACATCTGTCTCACAGTCAGGGTTTTCTAACTATTTGGAGATAAAAAAAAAAGATTTTGCAGTTGTGAACTGCCCCTGGAAGAAAAGTAATTCTTAATCACTGAGACATCTCTCTAGCTCTACTATTTGGAGATTTTAAAATATATTTTGTCAGTGGGCAGGATGGCTCATGCCTTTAATCGCAGTAGTTCAGAGGCAGAGGTAGGTAGATCTCTAAGTTCAAGGCCAGTCTGTTCTACAAATAAGTTCTAGGAAAGCTGAGGCCACACAGAGAAACCCTGTCTTGAAAAACAGATTTAGGTTCTGCAAACAAGAAATGTGGGGGAAATTCTTGAAGACAAGGAGCTAGGAAAAGTTGCCCTGGCTGTCCTGGAACTCACTGGGTAGACTGGGCTGGCCTCAAACTCTGGAGTGCTGGGATTAAAGACATGCACCATGGCTACCCAGCACAAAAGTCACTTTAAATATAAACCCTTAAGCTCATGAAAATAAAAACATGGAGAAGATATTACCATAAAAACATCAATCATAAAGGAGCTAAAATGATACATGGCTTCTTGACCTTTTGGCTAAGATCATGTGTAGAAAACTGAAACAGCCAGATATTGCCGGGCAGTGGTGGCGCACACCTTTAATCCCAGCACTTGGGAGGCAGAGGCAGGTGGATTTCTGAGTTCGAGGCCAGCCTGGTCTACAGAGCGAGTTCCAGGACAGCCAGGGCTACACAGAGAAACCCTGTCTCAAAAAAACAAAACAAAAAAACAAAAACAAAAAAAAAAAAAAAAAAAGAAAAAAAAAAGGAAACGGAAACAGTAACATTCATACAAACAAAACAGACATCAGGATGAGTGTTGTCAGAAGTAAAGCAGAATACTGATGGTAATGACAGTGGTTATAAGTGCATAGATTCCTAAAACAGCTGCAAAACACACACAGCTAAACTGGAAAGATTAAAGAGAAATGAACAATCACATACAGTCATTTTTTACAGTCTTCTTAATTTATAGGACATGTGTTCATAGAGATCACGAAATCTTCCTGTAAAATGATGTGCTGAGTACCTTCAGGCTACGTATTCCTTTAAACACATATGAACATTTCTCTGGCTGTAAAACTAGTCTAAATGGATTTCAAAAGGTTGAAGTGTTGTGAGTATGTTCTCTGACTACAGTGCAATTAAATTATAAAAATTGTAGCAAGCACTGAGCCTGTGAGGTAGTGATATATAT